CCCGGCCAAAAGCATGAAAGATGACTGGTCGCATTCTATCTTGTTGAATTTTGCTAGCTTGGAACAGGTGTTCCCCTGGCAGCGATGCTACCCAGCACGGGCCCTCAAGGTGTGGCAACACCGAGAGGCACCCTTGTTCGAACGTTGGCCTAGCCCAGCTGGTGAGCCATGGGGCGCGCGCCCTGCCAGCTTCACTGAGAGCACCGGGGTGCGCTCTTTTGGGCCAGGTCAGACCTTCTGTCTCCTCTGGAGCAGAGGGTGGCACCTCCGGGCGCGGCCAAAAAGTCTTGCACGTGAACATCCCCATGGTTGCCCATTGTCAAGGGCACTGTGCATTGGGACACCTAGCAAGGGAGTGAACAAAAGTCCAGGGCAGCGTTACTCCTGTTGATTGGTGGTCGCACTGTGGCCAACAAATATCTTCGATAGTCCAACAGTTCGCTGGCAAGGGTTTCAGCAGTCGAATCGAGTCCAAACGGGCTGTCTTGCTGCGAGCTTCCTAAAAACAGAACCAGGCCTGCGTTATACTCGAGGTGTGCCTCCGCGAAAAGAATCACGCCTAATTTGGGGCTAGAGGTATGATCAGTTCGCGCATGTCCGACGAGGTCTACCCACTGATGTTGATTCGTTGCAAGAGAGACCAAGTCCTGCGATTCAAACATCGTGACCGGAACACAATCATTATCAATGAGCCCAAAGTGTTGCCTGGGGAACAAAAATCGTGCAGCTTCAAGCACAAAGACCCCCGCCCAATAGTATGGAACATCACGAAGGCCAGACTCCCTATCTGCACAAATCCACAGGACCTCAGTGCGCTCTTCTTGGGGACCTATCAATTTACGACGAGAGGACCGCCAGGATGCAAATGCTGAACGAGCAACCTCGGACGGCGTGCGATTGTCAACTATTAGAAAGACCATGTGACTGGCAAGGACAAGGTCCTTGTAATGGAGGAGATGTCGGACCACTGCAATCATGTCAGGGACATGCCCAGAAGGATCGGACGTGGGGTATCCATGGTCTTCGTCGATTGGTTGCGATCGAACATCTGCAGTTGCAACCTCACCAAGATTAACGTCAAGACCGAGAAAGGCTCGAACAGTATCCTGCACGGTGAGGGCACGATACGCATCAGCTTTGGCAAAGTGATTTGTGCCTTCACTTCCTTGCGCAAAGAAGGTTCCATCAGTTTCAGTGATCCACCCAGTAGCATCGTCGAGATATGGCTTAGCAGGGACGGGGTGAGATCCCATGCCATCATCAAGGTCCAGCGCATCCTGCTGCATTGCTGACTGCAGGGTCAGGGGGTATGGAAAGGACACTCGTGTCTGCATACAGCAGAGGCGCAAAGCGGTTGTGAGAAGCCATCTCGAATTGCAGTTCACTTGTCGGCAGAATTTGCTAGGCCCCCAACTGAGGTTGGTTGCCCACAGCGCGTGCCTAGTAGTGAAAAATGCAAACAGCGAGGTGCCCTCAACTTAGGTTGATTGCACACTATGCGTGTCGTCTGCGTCGAATAGTGCGCAATGGCTCCTTGATAGGAGTGCCTCGGAAGCTGTGAGCCAATCAAGCTGCAGTCATTGTAGAGGCGACTTAAATCACGACGACACTCATGTACCGCAGCCCAGTCATGCAGCATGGAAATCAGTGTGAAGTGCTGTTCGGTGTAATAGTAGCACGGACAGTGAATGAAACACGACTGAAACACAACTTCATGAACTGCAAAAGTGCAAAACTGCAAAAATGCTGCGCGCATGCTGCAAAAAAGGTGTAAAATGTGCCACCAACCATCTTGTCGCCGGAAGACATTCACTAACTATGTAGTAACCGCGCGTAACAGCGGCACGGTGCAAACATGGCACGGTGTGTTCAGGTATGGGGAGGACAAGTCCGTTTGTTGCGCACTCTGCTCAGAAGTTAGTGTTAAGTTGCTAGGTTATTCCAGCAAGGTAGTAGTGGGGGTGGGTGAGGGCCCCAAGACACTGCCAGCAAGAAGCAAACAGCTTAACCAGTCCTGCTCTTTGAGGAAGTGACACAGCTCCTCGGGATTCACTACGAATTAAGCAGCAGGAAAAGGCGTGAGCGCCTCACCTGTTTTCCCGGGCTCTCATGGCTTACCTCTGGTTTAGCCTACATCCTGATCATCCGCATCCGGGTGTATTTGTGCCTTAAGGAGCGCTATGAAAAGCAGTCCACTCAGTTCTGCATGTAACGTGGTAAGTGGCGCTACTGAGTGAGCTTGAACTTCCGGCGGCGCCAGGATGAGGACCTGTTCAATTTCTTCCAAAGATTGTATCATAGCTTGCGCCCGTTGAAAGAGAGCAGTGTCAACTTGGTGATGTTCTCGCGCACAATCGACGTCGGCTGATGGGGTGATTGGGAGAGCCAGGGTCAGGATGAGGTTCGCCCCCTTGTGGACCTGGATGGACAGACAACTGTCTTTCCTGATCACGCATGGTCCAACTGCCTGGGTGACGTGGAAGTGCTTCAAATGGTCGAGTCTGCAGGAAAGAGTTAAGTGCGTCAGACGCGCGGTCAAATGGCCGACCTTCAACATTGGCAGCAACATAATTGAGGAGGGGCCTCTCATGATAGACAATATGAAGGGTGAGGCGATGTAGATACCCACGATTGCTACCGTAGGCTGTGACTCATCGCTCATTAATGGCAACGCAATGTTGCTGAAACGGATAGATAGTGAGGTCCTCATAGAAGACAGAGAGCTTTAGTAAGGCAGAGGGAAAGTTGAAGCCTTCCGCCCAACCCTCAATAGCTCTCTTGTGCCTCTGGTCGATCTGCCCAAGAGGAAAAAAGTGGAGAAGGTAGCGACGAACGACTTGTTGATCATGCGTGAAATGCACATTGACACCCAGGACTCCGTAGTTGATATCTCCATGCCCTTTTTCAAACCTGACATAGGGTGTGACATCCACTCTATCCTCCTCATCTAAAGACACTGGCTCATTACAGGGCGGCGCAGGCAAAAGGCGAACGGCAGCCATTCACGAGCGTGCGTTAGCGCACACCGTGGTGCAAGGGGTATGTGACAAGACCCTGTGAGCCGAATGCTAAGAAATCCACAAAGAGAGGGGCTAAACGTAACAGTGGGTGCAAGAGCAATGTACTGTCAAACAATATTCACCAGGGCTGTCATGCCTAGGGAAGTTGGAGCCAGGGCACAACGCTGTAACAAGATGGCACGAGTCTCCTGTCATACGAAATTGCCGGATCTAAACTACTAGAGTTACGACAAGAATTTTCCGGAAGTTCCAACAACAGGTCTGGGCCATCTAACTCTGAGAAAGGCAGAGTAGACAGAGTAGGACAGCAAGAAAAGAGGAGGAGGTCATCAGCTAGTAAGAGAAAGCGCATTGCTCACACACGTGACACTCTCCAAAAAACAACTGACAGCCATAGTGCTAGTGCAGGGCATGCAGTTTACATAAGAGCTTGTTTGCTGTGAGGCAACGGCCAGTAGCTATCACTGCACCGGGCATTTCTTCGGGCGTGCTCCCTTGTTATTTTCAGCCCGGGAGTAGTAGTAGTAGTAGTAGTAGTAGTAGTAGTAGTAGTAGCTGAAAATCTTCACGGTATATAGTATTTGTTTCTTATTAAATACAAGATGGAGCCCACGAACCCGAATGCGAACACGTTCGAAAAGCTATATATATATACATATGTCCAAATGACACTCTTGTAGGACACTCTTGTGGGACACTCTTGTAGGATACTCCTGTGGGTCACTCTTGCAGGACACTCTTGTGGAACACTCTTACAGGACACTCTTGTGGGACGCACACCTTGGCAGGCGGGGTCCTCCGTTCAAACAGATCAAGCAGAGGTCAATGCTTTTTGGCCGCTCATGTGCTCGGCAGGTTGCGAAGAAGCCCAGCATCCGCACCCTGCTTGAAGGGCATTGGGCATTGCACAGAGGTGGAAGACACGACCAAACATGAACGTCATGCAGTTTGGCAGAGCTGATGAAACATGTATGCAATCAGAGTGATCTCGAGTTTTTTGCCCCATGACAAAGACTCCTTGGAATTCATTCGATCTTTCCAATTCATCGTGAAAGCACCTGGTGACATGATCATTTCATGGAGCGCAGAGTGGCAGTTTCAATCGATTCAATCGAAGCTGAACAATCTCAGCTTCAGGCGTTGACCATACTGATCCATGACGTTTTTGACAGGAAAGCATAACACGTAAGTGACATCCACTCATACACCACTGCACAAATCAAGAAGTGTACCGCCTGACTTTAGGCCCGAGCGAAAAGCATTTTACGCGCTTCGCATGGTAGCGGAGCCGGGTCGTAAAGTGCCCGGCTCCCTACCCCTCGCCATAGGCACCACGATTCCTGGTCGAAGTACCAGGTCGAGATCCCGGTCACCTTCGGCACGATCGACTTCGGTGGGATTCTGGTTGGTTGAGCTTTTGCTCCTGGCTGGGATAGCTGGTGGAGCTGGTGACGCTTCCATCCAAGAGGTGTGCTTCTACCAAAGCCCCAACGTGGTGCACGAGACTGGCAAGTGGAAGCTCAGGTACATCCACACCATCCTGGTGGATACCAGTGAGCGCGTGGGGAAGCTAAAGTGGGCACGCAGCGACCATGTGGTGAAAGCCACTCTGACGGTCAGAGAGAAGGACAAAAGGAAGAAGAAAAGATCCAGGGAGCAAAAGCAGCCAAGACAACCAGCTGGCTGGAGATTGGTGGAGAAGGTTGAGAAGCTACGGGACAGCACCGACAAGGAGGTCATCAGCGACCTGGTGGCGAATTGGGACTTCACCCAGTTTGAAAACAAATGAGCGCCCCTTTTTATGCTCACTTTGGGCCTGCAGTGCGCGGTGTATGTACTTGCATGGTGCATACCTAGCCAGTGGTTATGTTCACATCTCTCAAACCTAGCACCCCCCTTATGGCTAGTGGTATGCACCAGCTGCACGGCTTGACAGTCCGTCTTTGACCTGCGTGCTTGCATCCAAATGCATGGTAACAGTCACCATGTTGACACGGTCCATTCAAATCCTTCGACCTTGTGTCGGACTTTTGTCATCTCATTTCTCACATGCTCTTGAGCTTCATCACGCATCTGGACTGCCCTTGCCATCATGGTTTCTGCTTTTGCCATCATGGTTTCTGCTTTCATCTTTGACTCTTCACCTTTCGCTCGCCAGCCTGTGGCCACGTCAATGGCCTTGGTTGCCTTTTCCTTCTCTTGCTCTGCAATCTCTTTCCATCTTTCACCACTTCTTGCAGGATCCTTCAACTGATCGAGCTCATCTCTTGCCTCCTGTAACTCTTCACGAATTTCTGCCGCTTCTTTTCTTTCTTCTTTCACTTCTTCTCTCAACCTCTCAATCTCTTTTCTCTGCATCATCAATTCATCCTCCTTTCTCTCAAGGTCACTTAAGACCTTTGACAACATTCTCTTCATCTGCTTCGCCTCCTTCTCGTCAATCACCTCCGGCTCATCGTTCTTACTGCACCAATCGTGGATCCATGCCCTCACAGCCTGACATAGGCTCAAGGCCCCGAGAGTTGCCAGTACGATTGTGAAGGCAAACATCCACATGAAACTTCCACTGTTCTCTTCTGGCGCCGGCTGAGTCGTCATCAGCTCTTCACCTTTGCCCCGAAGTAGTGCCGCAATCACCATTGCCACCTTTGCACCACTTCCTTTGAAGGCTTTGCCCATTTTCCTCATCTCTTCTTGAGCTGCAATTCCATTGTACTCATCACGGCCGATCTTCTCGTCGTTCTCGTCCACCATCTTCATGAGGAACTTCAAACCTTTCAACCGACTCTTACTGAGACACTTCGTCCCAGCATCACTTGTGTTGACCGCCGTTGGCACTCCTGTCACTCGGATCGACTTGTCCATGGTCTTCTCTTGCAACCAAAGCATGGCTGCTGCAATGTGCGTGCTTCGTCCAATGCCAACTCTTGTTGCTAGGGCTCTTGCTGCTGATGAATCACTTCGACACACCAGCAATGCACGTTCACCTGCAATGAACTCCCAACAATGTTGTATGAACAAGGCTTCACTGCAACCACCAACCATGCAGATGTATTCGCTCTCTCCGGAGCTCAATGAAATGCTCTTTTGACAGCGCACATAGCTCTCCATCATGTTTCCGTTCAAATAGATCTGAACAGATGA